GAGATGTGGAAGGAGGTAGGAGAGGAAACATGGGAGATGTGGAAGGAGGTAGGAGAGGAAACACGGGAGACTTGGAAGAAAAGGAAACATAGGAGATGTGGAAAGAGACAGAAAGGGAAACATAGGAGACAGGAGAGGAAACATGGGAGACATGAAAGGAGACAGGAGAGGAGTCTTGCTGAGGTAGGGATCGATCCGTTAAACCGACCAACAGTTTGTTAATCAGTTTATCAGAGGAGCTTCCAGCTGATTACAGATGTTCAGTCGGCTGATCTCAGGTCAGCCTGCCGCTGGTTAGCCTGCTGTTAGCCTGTTAGCTCTCGGCTCTCCTGTTAGCATGTTAGCATGGTTTGATTCCTCACAGTGTTTTAACCTCGCGAGCTCACCTGTACGCTGTTTCGGGCTAACCTGCAGCGTCACTCAGGTGCTGTTACTTTTATAGGCCGGCTGGGATGCTCGTTAGCCTGTTAGCATGTAGCTCACCTGGATAAGGTTATCGTCGAAGCTTCCCCATGGTTCCGCGTTCCTGCTCCCGGAGCCCGAAGACATTTTCCCCACAGCAGCAGCGGCTCTCCGTGGGGTGGAGTCTGTGTCCGTGGTTCGGTCGGTGGATCCGCGGATGGATCTTTTTCTCTTCCTGCTTCTAAAACCTGATGTTTTGGTCCGTAGAACGCCCCGCCCACCGGCTGACGCCACATCCCCAGTCGACGTGGAGGTCGAAGATATCGCGATATTTCCGTGAGAGTTTTTTGTGGCGATGGTTGCGTTTCGCTGCCGCTTGAATGTTTTATGTAGTTTTGAGCATGAAACAGTAGAAAGTGCTGAAGAGGACTCTTCAACAGGACGAACAACCGCGTCTATCCAAAAAACGAGTTAATGTTTAAAGTTGAAGTTACCAAAAAATGTGTTGGAACTCATAACCCATCAAAACGGTTATATGAACATTAGCATTTGGGTTAAAGACTTCTGCCTACTCTTAAATTCAGCATTTAAAACCTGGACTGAAAACAGTCAGACTGTCTCAAAAGTACTTTTATTGCCACAAGATACAAATAATATAGACAGCAGACTAAAATGTATCAAACAAAGTCAAATACAAGTAAAAGAAATAAAAGTACATAATTCATTATACTACATCCCTTACTTCAAACCAGTCTTTGGTTTGTCAAGAGATTTATTCTAAATGACACGTCTTCAGCTGAGAGTAAGAGTGAAGACACACACAGACGCTGAACAATGAAAAGGACAATCAGTTAAAAAAGGTCATCATGCAGTCACATGTAAACTTATATCATTAGAAGCTTATACTGACTACTAAGTACAATTTTCCCTTAACAGGTTCCAGCTCCAAAATTTCATAACTGACTCTGTTTTAGAACAAACTCATGGAAACACTCACTGAACAAGATGACATCATCATTATTTGGTCATTACCTCTCAGATCGTAGCACGCACACTAATGAGCGACATTTTACCCTTCCATCATTGCTAACTGAGCCCTCATTCATTTGATCGTATCTGATTCATGTCCTGAGATTCCACTCATGACAAATCGATGTTTTGCAGACGCTCACCACTCCCTTTCTTCTCTGACATGCAGATGATGTTTGTCGAGAACAAAGGGTTCCAGTTTGAAGCAAAACTATAAAATCAGAAAAGATGAAGATACACGTTTTAAATCTCAGTCAGGGAGAGATTGAATTCTTTCTCGTGTGACACTAAATCTGCTCTGATGTTATTTTCTGATGGTTCACTGTACAGTCACACATCACTTGAGAGCTGATTAATGCCAAGTTGTCTTTAATCCTGGTCCAGTGAGCTCCAACAGCATGCTTATTTATGTGTCTTGTTAAAGATTTGGAAACTTATCTTTATGCTCAATCATCCAGGTAAGTAATTCCCAAAAAGTTGATTCATCTCAGTTGATGCTCCTGACACATATGGGATCACTACAGGTTTTCTTTATGTGATGTCCTCTGCTTCCCTGGCTGCTGTGTCTGTGGGGATGGTGTTCGCTCCTGTTCACGTCCTGATCACACTCAGTTTATGCTCCAGTGGATGATGAGAGTCAAACCTTAAATACTGGTCTGTATGCGTAGGTTTCCCGTACACATTAGTGTCCGGTTTACTGGGTGGGATCAAAAACACTTACTGGGTTTGAGGTGTTGGTTTGGGTCTCCTGAGCGGGCAGAGACTTGTCAGACGTTTGTTAACTTAAACCTGCAACTGCTTCATGACTTTGAGCATGTTTGTCTTCTCTGTCTCAAAATGAACCCAACAGGTCTAAAGTCAAATATAGAAGGTCAAAAATGTTGAATGTTAATTGTAGAACAGGATAATAGTTTTAATATGTGTAACTGGTGTGGTTCTGCGTTGTGTCTGATAACAAAGGTAAAAGAAAGAAAG